CATGTTGTGTGTATATATATACGTATAAGGTATATCCGGCACCGTGCCTTCAGAGCGTAGTGGAGTGTCCCACGGCTTAAACCTTGAGGTGTAGGGGGCCTGTGAAGTTCTCAAACGTCCGGACGCCTGGTTTCCCACTCACTCCGGGGCGCTACCAGGCACTATCGGATTGTTTCGCAGTGGCCTCTGGGACAGTGACCCAGCCCAACAGGGCCCCGAAACGGGCAACAGGGTCCACGATTCTTCCGAGACGGCCCAACATATTTCCGCGACGCCCAACATGGCCTCGAGACGGCCCAAGAAGCCTCCGAGACGCCCCAATAGAGAGCCCCAAGAGCTTTCCCGACAGGGCCTCGTGAGGCTGAAATTATTGCTTTCCCGTAGGTGTTTCGGTGTTTTATGTCGGCGGCGAACGTCGGGAAGACAGGAGAGGGGGCGGGCCTCGGAGGGGAGGAAAAGGAAGGGAGGGAGGGAGGGAGGGAGGGAGGGTTGGAGGAGGAGGACGAGCAGGCGGAGGAGGAGAGGAGGAGGAGAGGAGGAGGATGAGGAGGAAGAAAAGGAGGAGGAGGGAGGAGGGAGGGAGGGAGGGAGGGAGGGGGAGGAGAGGGTGGAGACGGAGGAGTAGGGAGGAGGAGGAGGAGGAGAGGAGGAAGAGGAGGAGGAGGAGGAAGAGGAGGAGGAGGAGGAGGAGGAGGAGGAGGCGCAGGAGGACGAGGAGGAGGAGGAGGAGGTGGATGAGGAGGAGGAGGAGGAAGGAGGCGGAGGGAGCAAGATCAGGAGGTGGCCGTCCCCTCGCCTTCCGCCGCCCTGGCCCTGGCGTCTGGAGCTTTCGGCGGCGTCGCGCCAGCGCGGGCGGAGCACAGCGGTTCCGGAGGAGGCGCCGCCGCGACGGAGGCTGGCGCGGCGGGATAATGCTACTTTGGTCAGCTGTCGATGGTCATGATGCGGGTGCCCTGCGTGACCCGCCCTCGGGGTGCTGGGAGGCCCTCCTGAGGCCGGGCCTCACGGCTTGGGCCGGTGTGGGTGGGGTCGAAGGGTCGAGCCGCATCGCAGGTGCATCGGCGATGCGGCGCAATCCAGAGTTTCTCCATCCCGACCTCGCTGATGCATCGCGGATACCCTGCCGATGCAGCGCCCTCCTCGGGCCGCAGCATCCGAGGGCCGCCTTAAGGGCTGCCGAGGGCGTCCGAGTGTCTGCGAAGGCTGCCGAGATCTTCCGCTGCCATCCGGCCGCCGTACACGGGCGCGGCATCGCCGATGCATCGCCGATCTCGATCTTATTGTCGAGTAGGGGATCGACTACATAATTGATTTACAATCCCCACCACATCCACCCCCCTGCGAATCTAGTGGTAGGGGGCCCCCGACGCGGTCCGGAGGTCGGGATAAATCGACGCACCCCATAGCATACCGTTCCATTACATATCACTACCCGAAGGATGGCTCCCATGACCAGACGTGAATTACCCGCGACCCACGCACCACCATGAGAACCCACGAAGATCCCATCCCATCGCCAGCCAAGCCACTACCCCCACCCCGATACGACCCACTAGGGGATCGTCGGATCTGCGAATTGTGCGTCTAATCTTCGTGGACCTGCGAACCTCTACGCATTTTGTTTTTTGCAGGTCCGACGAGCTTCTCAGTTTGGGAATGCACCAGTTCTTTGGTCGTTCCCCCCACTAGACTTTGGGAGGGCCCCGAAGATCGGTGCCGCTGCCGTTTGGTCAAAGGGCCGCCCCCGCGCAGGCCGCCCGCGGCGCGGCCGGGGCGGCGTCGGCCGCCGCCGAGGCCACCCGCGGGCCCGCCCCGCCTCCGAGCGCGGGCGCAGGGCGGGCCCTCGGCGGCGCGAGCGGCGACCTGCCGCAGGCGAGCGCTGCCGCCGCCGCCGCCGCCTCCGCCGCCGTCGCCGCCGCCGCCGCCGCCGCCCCGGAGGTCCGGCGTCGCGAACAGATGGCGTCATCGACAGGCGTCGCGACCGAGGCCCTGGACCCGATCTTTTTGCGGCATCTCGCGAGCCGAATGGATCCGTGACGGCCCCGGGGGCCGAAGCAGTTGGGATTTCAGGGCCTTCGCCGCCTTCGCCGCCTTCGCCGCCTTCGCCGCGGCCGTCGCCGCCGCCGTCGCCGCCGCCGTCGCCGTCGCCGGCGCCGTCGCCGACTCTGCCGCCGCCGCCGCCGCCGTCGTCGTCGTCGTCGCCGTCGTCGTCGTCGTCGCCGCCGCCGCCGCCGCCGCCGCCGCCGCCGGCGGTACGTCGCCCGCGCCTGCTGCCCGCAGGAGGAGCTGAGGCGGAGGCGTGCCGAGGCGCTGGAGCGGCTGTGCCAGCCGTCGGCGCCGCTGCGCACGGCCGGCGGCGGGGAGGGCGCCGCCGCGCCCGTCGGCGCTGCGGCTGCCGGCGAGGAGCGCAGCGGGGCGCCCGCCGCCGGGCCGGGCGCGGGCAAGGCTGTTGGGTCGGAAGTTGACAGGGCCCCCCCCTTTCAGGGGCAACGATGGGCGGGATAGGGGTTGGGGGGGGGACGTATCGACCTCCAATCGCCCACTGATCGCCGATGGGGGCCCGATAGCCCCGCCACGTGCAGGAAGCTGACAGGACCCCCCCCTTTCCAGTCGGGAGAACGTGAGGCTCGAGTGCGCCAGAACTCGGGTCTGCCGTCGCTTTTTGACGAGCGCGTCCTGGGTTTTGGTGGTCCAGTTTTCGCGGGGTGTCTGCAGCGGGAGCTCGCGTCAGATTTCAGACGGGGTCGCGTCATTTTCATGAAGGCCCCTTCGGGCCGACCCGAGTCCCCCGAACCAGAGTCTTACGTCTCCCCGATTCAGGGGCAACGAGGGGGTGAGATAGGCGTTGGGGGGGGCGGGGGGGCGGATCGGCCCTCAGTCGCCCACGGATCGCCGGGGGGGGGGGGCCGATAGCCCCACCGCGCGCAGGAGCGTGGGGAGGCACTGATGTCGGGGGCCTATCGCCGAGGCCCCCTATCGTGCCAGTCCCCCCCCCTTCTCGTCGACCCCCACCCTGCCAACCCAGATCAGGGATGCCGGATTTCTTCGGTCGCGATCGGTAGCAACCGATCGGCGCTTTAAGGCGGTCGCAGTCGTTCGGTCGCGACCGGTGTTTCGAAGCGGATCGGTCGCGAACAATCTTGGAATTGTAAGTAGAATCGCTGGCGACCGATCTCGTCGGTCGCGACAGGAATTCTGCAGTACCCACTGGTCAGGGAAGTAGATCGGCGGAGATAGTGTTCTTTCACAATTAGGCTCCAGGGGGCAGCTCGTGCTACACGCACCCTCCTCTGCAGCGGTATATAGCTCCTGGAAGCCGGCCACAGGCGTGAACATTTGCACCTTCGATGAGACCTTGTAGGGTCCGCCATGCAGCTTCCTCAGAGCCCCGAGTCATCAAGGGCAACTCGGGTCAGGGCTAACGCGGGTTCGGTTTCTCGGGAATCCGAGCCCGAGTTACCCCCGGCCCGAGCTACCCCGGACATTTCGGGCGTCCAACCTTGCAGGGTCCCCCATGCAGCTCGTACGGACCCTAACAGGATTCCTTAGAGCCCCCACCCTGCGACGTCTCGGAGGCTGGGCAAGGGCTGCTAAATCCGTGGCTGCTAAAATCGACCTCCGGGAAGTTGTCTTCGTCCTTCGGGCAGAAGCCCGTTGGCTGTTTCGCGTGCCGCGCCTCATTCCAGGAAGTTGTTTTGTCCTTCTGGGAGGGCCGTTTTAGCAGCCACGGTTTTAGCAGCCCTCGCCCAGTTTCCGAACGTCGATTCGCGACTTTTTTATATTTTTTCCTTTCCTCGAGAGGGCGCTGCGTCGGCAGCGTCTGCGGGCCCGCGCCCGCCGGGTCTGGTCCCGAGTCGTTGTCACCTCGACCCCGGCCCTCGAGGTTCGAAATTTTCCCACGGATTTCGAGGTTCGAGGTTCGGCCCAGGTTTTCGAGGTTCGAGGTTCGACCCCGGCTTTTTTCGCTTCTCGGCGGTTTTGCACCCTCGGGACGCCTTCGGCGTCAAGCAGAGCCGCAAAGAGAAAGGCACGCCTAAGCCGATGAAAGGCAGGCGTGACACACCGGGAACTCCAGCCAAGGCAACCCCCTATGAAGGCGAAGGCGAAGGCCACGTCCAAGGCTGCAAATGCGAATGACAATGAACCCCAACGGCCGCCGGAGAGCCGAGCTGTGACCCGGCGGCTGCCGAGTCCCATGCCTCCTGCGGCACGGTCTCCTCGGCGCCGAGCTGCTCTGCCTCGCTCGGGGCCTCCGGGGCCCGTGGTCGGGCCCCCGGGGGCCAGCAGAGGCGGGCCCGCAGGGCGGGGCGTCGCCTCCGGGGGAGCAGTCGGGGCCTCCTGAGGGCCGCGGGTCCGGAGCAGGAGACGTATCGGGCGGGCGTGAGGGGTCCGTCGGCGCGCGCGGGGGGGCGGCGTGGGGCCCGCTGTAAGGAGTCAGCACGGGGGAAGGCGCCGGGAGTCCGCGATGGGTCCTTTACCGAAGGAGGGTTATGATGCTCGAGCCTGCCGTAGCCTCGATCACCAGGAAGAGTTTCGAGCGCCCCAAAAAGTACCGAAACTTCAGGGTGTTCACGCGTCGGGCCCTGGGAGGCACTCGCCCGACACTGTTTCGACGCTGTTTCGACACTCTTTTTGACACGTTCCCGGGTGCTCGAAATTATTTCTGGGATGTGGTCCTTACGTGGGATGGGAACAACATGAAAGGAGGGGCTTCCTGCCGTCCCGGAGCGGTTCGGAGTGAGGCGCCTGTCCCCTGGAAAGCCCCAGCGCACGGGGCCTGATTCCACCGGGGCCCTCCCTGCCCGCATGCCCCAGGGAAGCCCCCCCTTGCTCCAGGCCTCATAGGTGGGGTCCGAGTAAATGGGGTTGGAGGATCACGCCGCATTGCAGATGCATCGGCGATGCGGCTCGGTGTGGCGCCCGACTTTCTCTACGCCGAGGGCGCCGATGCATCGCCGACGTCGCCGATGCATCGCCGATACATCGGCGATGCGGTGCGCTCCTCCGACCCCATCTACACAGACTCCATCTGCATCATCAAGAAGCCTGGACCCCATCTGCATCATCAGGAAGCCTTCGTTAAAGCCTCCAGCCCCTTCTACGAAGTAACGGGCGAAGAAAGGTTGAACATATGTGATTCCGCGATCGGGGTCGCCTGTCCCAGGGCGGCTGGAACGTATAAACTTCCGCCTGCCACCGTAGGGGTAGTGACTCCCCACCCGCCCCGCCCTTGGACAGGCGCGCCCGATGGCGGACAAGCTCATCTTATACCTTTCTTCGCCCGCTGAAAGAAGCCCCCTGTGCTCGTATCAGAGGCTCCCCGCCTCCGTGCGCGCCCCCCAGAAAAAAGGCCCTGGGCGGCGCCTGCGCGCCCGGCGGCGAGGGCGGCAACCTGTCGCAGGCCGACGCTGTCGCCGTCGCCTCCGCCGCCGCCGCCGTCGTCATCTTGATCATTATCTTCGTCTTCACAGCCGCCGTCGCCGTCGTGGTCGTGGTCGTTCACCGCCCCCGACCTCGCGGGATTCCTCACCGCCGCGTTCGTCGCCTCCGCCGCGGCGCCGTCGCCTCCGCCGCCTGCGTCGCGGTCGTTGTGTTCGTCGCCGCCGCCGCCGTCGTCGTCGCCGTCGCAGGAAGAGCTGAGGCAGAAGCGGGCCGAGGCCATGGAGCGGCGCCTGCTGCGCCACCTGTCGAACAAATAGAGCGACCGTCCGTGTCCGTCGGGCGCCGCTCTCCAGAGCCCTGGCAGGGTAAGGTGGGACGCAAGGGTGGGTGGTGGAGAGGGGAGGGGGGCAGTGGGAGGACGGGAGGCGGGCAGGAGCGGAACAGGGAGTGGGGAGGAAGTTTGGACAAGGGCGCGAAGGGTGGACGGGGGGCGGGCTCACTGTTTTTTCGTGTTCTTAGGCTTGCGAGTTGTACAGGGCGTCGACGGACATTCGGTGCTGTCCTCTCCTGACCGCCGCAGTCCGTGCAGCGGCCCCGTGGCTAAAGGCCATGGGAGGAGGCGGTCCTTTCTCGTAGCTGCAAGAGGAAGCCAGCCAGAGCCGGTGATCGCTGGCGCACCCGAAGAGGAGGAGGAGGAGGAGGAGGAGGAGGAGGAGGAGGAGGAGGAGGAGGAGGAGGAGGAGGAGGAGGAGGAGGAGGACCAGAGTAAGCCAAAGGCATCAGCGATGCTGCAAGATCTCCTGCTCCTCCTCCTCCTCCTCTCCTCCTCCTCCTCCTCCTCCCGTCCCCGTGCATCCCTGCAGGTGTCCTCGATAGACGCGGCGGCCGGCCCCCTTGGAAGGCCCGCACGGCTCCGGCCTGCCGCTTCGGCGGGGGCCCCGCTTTGACACGGGATCGTGCTGCATGTTTCTGGTGCGCAATCAGGAACGCGAGTTGTGATCATACGGTTCAGCGAGGAGTTCAGCAGTACCCCACTTTGAAGGCGGACCCCCTCCCCCCCATGCGTCTAACTGTTGCACAAGCTTACTTTTTGGGCCACGCATTTCGAGGACCTCCCACGCGAAGGCGCCATGTCGAAACAGAGCCACCCTGGATCTGTGCGGCGCTACGCGTACTGCCTTTTCGGGTCGTCAGCATTGAAGAGTTTCGTAGCCCCATTGTGCCAAAGAGCAGTCCCTTGCGTTCTAACTGTTGCACTCAAAACACGCTGCGCGCGGCTCTCTGGCGAGAATTTTGCAATGCGATCAGTGATCACCCCTTCGAGCTGGTGCAAGGTTTTGAGATGAGTGTGCGCAGCGCGAAGGCGAGAGAGAGCTCCACCCTTCATCCGCGAAGTTATTGCAAATTGTTAGAGCGAATGCACTCGCCGCTAAGGCGAGGTCAGTAGCTTGGAAACGCCACCCTTCCATCCTTGGACATGTTGCAACCTTACAGGACGAACGTGCGCGGCTCTAAGGCGTAAGCCACTTTTTGAACATGTCCCCATCCATCCCTGATGCAGCTTGGCACGTGCAAGACGAACGTGCGCGGCGCTGCGGTGAGAGTCACACTTCGAAATGGAACCGCCCTCCATTCTCGAAGCCGTTGCGACTCCTTCAGACGAGTGTGCGCGGCGCTATGGCGGTGGCCACAGTTTGCGAAAATTCTTCATGCTTCGCGTGTCCCCACCAGCCTTAGTTCTCGCCACTGTTGTGGCCCTTTTCCGCCTGTCCTGTTAGGTTGGCCTGTCGTCTGACTACCTTGACGGCGCGCAGCTGCCTGCGTCGCTCGCGATCAAAAAAGGTATCCCTTCCAGCCCGTTCAAAAGCTCTGCCCATACGAGCTGATTGGGAAAAGAACGGCGACACACATCGTGACACAAAGTTCGGCGGATCCATGGAGAATGGGGACGAGGGGAGGCGGAGGAGGAGGAGGAGGAGGTGGAGGAGGAAAAGGAGGAGGAGGAAGAGGAGGAGGAGGAGGAGGAGGAGGAGAGGAGGAGGAGGAGGAGAGGAGGGGGAGGAAAAGGAGGAGGAGGAGACGGGGAAGGACGCTCTTGGGAGCTCCTGGGGCCTTCCTGGGGCCCTCGTGAGGCCCTCTTGGGGACCCTATGGGGGCTCCTCGAGGTCATCATGTAGGCCAGGAGTCAACGGAGGGGGGGTCACCGATTTCTGCCCCCCCCCTCCCCCCCTCCCCCCTCCCCTGGGGGCCAGCCGCGGCCCCCCTCGGGGCGCTCTTGGGGCGCTCTGGGGGTCCAGGGGGCCCTGCGGGCCCCTCGTGGGCCTCTCTAGGGCCGGCCCTCTTGGGACCATCTTGAGGCTTCAAGAGCCTTGGCATCGCTCGGACGTGTGCATTTTTGGTTGTCGAGGACCACCGGGGAGCATCCTTGATCACCTGGCGAAGTAACCACGCACGAAACGGAAAAAAAAACACAGGGGATGGACGTCCGAGCGATGGCCAGTCTTGGGCCATCCTGAGGCTTCAAGAGCGCATCGGACGCGAAAAGGCGAGAGGGCACACCTCATCAATTTACCGTACGTGTCTGAAAGAGGTGGGCTTCTTGGGGGGGGTCCCGAGGGCGCTCCGAGAGCACCTGGAATCGTTGTGTGGCCCTCGTCGGGCCTCTTGGAGGTATGCCAGAAGCCATCTTGAACCATTTTCGGCTATCTTGAGCCGCCTTGGGGGCCACTTTGGAGCATCGGAGGCTCTCTTGGTGCACTCTTGGGCGAACACGGACCACCTGCCACCTCGCGGCCTCCCCAAACAGGTTCAGGGAGGGGAGGGGGAGGGTACCCCTCCCCGAAGGGAAGATGGATGATGATGGTCTTGGGAGAGGATGGAAATCGTTAGACCAGCCTAGCCCAAAAGGGCTGGTGAAACTACCCGTGCTCCGTCCTCGCAGTTGCTCCGAAGGTTCAAGATTTGCGGCGTTCAGGCGAGAACCATATTTGAAACCCCTTGAGTTTTTGAAGCTGCAATGGCGAATCTTCAGGGTCAGAAGCGTTAAGGAAGTCTCAGGCAAAACGATCAGCCTGCCCTACCAACACGTTTGGGGGTGCGACAGGGAAGAGTTACGTATATGGAGATGAAGAAGAAAACGAGCGGGAGGAGGGGAGGGCGGCGGAACGGAGAGAGCCCAGAGAAAGTGTTGATCGGGGGTGAGGGAAGAGGATATGGAATGATGATGGTGGTGATTTCGAGGCGGAGGAGGAGGATCCTTCGTTTGACCACAGGCATCACCCACGGAAACTTCAAGCAAGACAATCCGAAGGAGCAGCCCAGACAGGACGAGAAGCAATGCGAGGGGAGAGCGTATCTCGTCCGTCGAATTCTCTCTGTTGCTGCCCTCGCGTGCCATCGTGTTCCCTCTCCGCCCCTCTCGTCACCCTTGACTTCGCCCCTCCCTGCTCGCGCTTCTGCCCCCTCCCCCTCTCTTCTTTCCGATCTCCCACCTCCCACCTCCCTCCTTCTCGTGTCCCTCTCGCTCGCCCTCCCTCCCTCCCTCCCTCCCTCCCTCCTCTCTCTTCCCCTTCGCCTGTGATCCCCGTGTTCTCCTTGCTCCCGCCTTCTCTGTCCTCCGCCATCCACCAGTTCTCTCTAAACCTTCCTTTCGCCACTCGTTTTCCCACACTCCTGCGCCTGCACCTGGTCAGTACGTAGGCGCGCTCGAAGCGAACGCTTGGTTTGGGTGTGTGTGTGTGTGTGTGTGGCCGTCGGTCTACACGTGTGTGAATCTATCGGGTGGCATTCGGCTCGCCCGTTCATCGTCGTTAGGCTGTGGGCCAGAGGCCTCCCCTCGGACGTCTGGGGTCTCCCGAGAGGCCTCTCCAGAGGCCTTCGGGGAGCCCCTCGGAGGCCTCCCGGGGGCGGGGGCCTGGGGCCTCCTGGGGGCCGCTTGGGAGCCTCTCGGTGCCTCCCGGGGACCCGCGGGAGAGTCGTCTTCGGAGAAGTCCTCCTCGCGCGTCCGCCCCCCCCTCCTCCTTACCCAGGGGCAGGGCGCGGGCTGAACGGTGTTTTTTGACGATTTCGTGGACCGTCTCCGTTTGGACCCCGTTGCGCAGCAAAGGCGCAACGAAGCCTGAACGAGGGATGACGAACACGAGACTAACGCGGACAACGGTGTGAAGCTTGCCCCCAGCCCAGGGGTCCCATGGGTTGCGTCTTTGATGAGCCAGGCAGCCCTTGCTCCCCTGGGGACTTCCAAGCAGGCTGGACACTCCTGCCGTCCCCTGCGGACACCTGAGGGCAAGCCCCTGCAACGCCTGGCTGTTGCCAAAGAGCTCCCCCTCCCCTTCCCCCTCCTCCTCCTCCTTTCCCTCCTCCTCCTTCTTCTCCGTCTCCTCTTCCTCCTCCTCCTCCTCCTCCTCCTCCTCTCCCTCCTCCTTCTCCTCCTCCTCCTTTGGCTGGTCCACAGGCTTGTTCGAACTTCGGGCTGGACATTCATGGAGAGATGGGCCAGCAGCTTCAGCGTCTTCGGCAAACATTAGATGCATTTATATAGGGTATTGCAGGACAGGCAAGAGCCTTGCCACCCTCTTGCATATTCATGCTCCTCGGTGGCATCCAGAGGTTGCTTTACCCACATCATGTTTGAAGACTTGGCTCGACTGCTGGATCCGTTTCCCGCAGTCTCATGCAGGTGTCAGGGAACTGGAGGCGATCCCGAGCAATCTGCATATCCGAGGTGCCATTCCGGCAGTTCTGGTTCATTTGTTGGCAGCAGGTCGGACCCCCTGGGCTCCCAATGATCGGAAAGGACCTTTCCACTCCTCAGGCGAATCAGACTTTCAATAGACTTTTCCTGCGGACGCCTAAATTTCAGTTGACGAGGGGCAAGGACTTCCCGACTTGTTTCGGGACACCTTGTCAGCCCACCAGCGGGCAGCAGCCGAATCACACTTTTGTGGTGCAGATCTGAAAGGAAAGGTAGATCACGTTTCCTCTCGTATGCTCATTCGCCATGTGTGATGCAAGAGGGTCTGTTGGCTGGAAGATCGGAAGTTCCATGCGGGGCTTGTTGGCGTGAGCGAGTGCCCCCGCTGCAAGCTTGCGAATCGAGAGCCGGCCACCGAAACCGCTGAGCACAGACAGTGGTTGTGTCCCAGAGTTTGCGATCATCCAGCCTTCGCTGGATCATCGGGCCTCTCGTCCAAGGCGCTGGCGCATGGGGAAGCCGAGGCATCTTCTGGCATTGAGGAATGTTGCCAGCCAGTTTGATTTTTGTTGAGCCATCGCCAACTGAGGATTAGCGGTTCAGTCTTGTCCTTCTGGCTGACGATCTCGTTCCTGGAGCTCTGAGCACCAGCACGGCAGGTAATATTGTTTATGTTGTTTGGATACGCTTCGTGGGGGAATGATGGCAGGGACGGCGTCTGCGGCGCGTCGGGATCGATTCATGTTCTGCGTTTTCCAGGGACCCCTTCGTTATCGGGGTTGTCGTTTTTGGATCTCTGTCTGGCGAGCTTCGTTTTCGTTCCTAGACGAAGCATTCGGAGTTTGGAGCTTGCGACCTGGTTTGTTTTAGGTGATCTGGTTTTCATGACAACGAAGGGGTTGCTTGTGGATGGCATCACCCTTTGGACGAGCGGCCGTCCGGTGTTCTTGCCGCCCTTTGGCGAGGATCTGGTTCGCTGATGAAGGCTCACGTTGGTTCGTTTATGGCCTTAAAGGTTGCCTCTCACGTCGCCCCGTCCGACCTCGAGTTAGGCACTACCCCAAGTGGATTGCAGGCAACGATGCCGCTGATGATATTGCAAACAGCTGCTCGTATTTCCAGAGCTTCTGAACATGATCGTGCTCGGGTGGCGGAGGCAAAGCGTACGGCCAGGTTGGTGCGAAGGCTTGATGAGGTTTACGTTCGGTCTCGACGGTTGTGTTTGTCCAGGTCCGTCGGGTTGAAAATACGTCTGGTCGCCCTTCTACTCTTGCTGTTGCTTTGCCCCTGCCTGCCCCCCCCCCCCTCCCACCGCTCTTGCCTTGTCCTTGTCCCCGTCCGTGCGCCAGCTCGACGAGACAGGGACTCGGTGCACCTGGTGCCGATGCTCTGCAACCGCGGCCGCCAGGACGTCATGGCTTGCCCCTCGCCATGTTCCCGACTGGAGGCGGCGGGCCGGGTGCTCAGGCCTCCGCAGGGGTTTGGGGCCCACGTGTGCGTGGGGGAGGGAACGCTCATGGTTCCCATATTATGTTCTTCTTTGGAATCGGGTATTTGGATGTGCAAAACTTGTGTGTCTGTTTGGGCAGTTCGTCATGCGCGAGCTTGTCCGCCCCTGCGACCCCCAGCATGTTTCCAAGAAGCGGCGTGAGTTTTTGAACAGCATCACAGGGGCTTGCGGCCCAAGACCGTGTCCACCGTTTCGATAAAGAATTTGTCATCGTTGCCCTCATTCCACTCCATTCCTCCTCTGCCCCCTCCTCCTCCCCCTCTTCCTCCTCCTGCTCGTCCTCTTCCTCTTCCTCTTCCTCCTCCCTCTGCCCTCCTTCTCCTGCCCCTCCTCTTCCTTCTTCTCCTCCTCCTCCTCCCCCGCTTCCTCTTCCTGTTCCTCATCCTGTTTCTTCTCTTCCTCCTTATGGGTTCTCGTTTCCATGGCACGAGGGCGCCAGCAAGGCTGGCGCAGCCCAGGCCCGTCCTAGGCCCCGCAGTGGGCGCGCCGCACCCTGACATCCCGTGAAATCCAGGCGCGGCATCTTTTTCACCGGGTTTTTTCGTCCGGTTCCGGGCCCCGGCACTCTCGCATGTCGATCCGCCTTATGCGCAAAACCGTTGAGAAACGGGGTCTACGGTCTACGGCCCTGGTTGTGATTTCAGACGGCGTTTCAGCTTTACCGTGCCGTCGGATGTGTGTTGCGATGTGGGATATCAGGGCCTACTGTTGCTATTTGTTGTTGCCGCCATTGCCTGCGTGCGTTCGGCCGGGGGCTGCCCCGCGCGCCCCGGGAGGGTCTTCGACATGATGCGGATCCCGGGCGCTCCTGCGGGCACGAAGCCCCAGGACTTGGCGGCGCGGCCGACGCGGCGACGGCGATCCGTTGGGCAGGTGTTGGGGGTTCTGTCGCCACGGCTAGACGCAGACCAGCAAACTGGGGCCACGCTCGGGGAAAATAGGCCAAAAGGGGGGACGCCTCGACCCCCAATCGTCCACTCTTCGCGATATGGGGCCCCATTTAGCCCACCCCGTTAAGAAATTTCTGCATTCGTTTTCGGGAGCCTATCGCCGACCCCTCGGCGACGCATCGCCGTCTCCAGGCCGATGTCCCCCCCCAAAACGTGCCCCTGAGACAATCTGGCCAGGACGTGACCTGGGGGGAGATCCGGGAAACAAGTTCTGAGTGCATTTGGGGTCGGGGGCTGGGACGGGGGTGGAGTTTTAAGGCGTCGCTCTAAGAGGACACGTATTTTATAATACTTCGGATGAAGAGCGAGGCACCGCGCTTCTTCGAATCGAAAAACAACGTTTTTTTCTGGCCAAGAAGGGAAATGACCTTCCACGTGTGAAGGCCAAATTCGAAGATCGCGTCGTAAATATCGAAACTAAATTTGTAGGTGCTTGGGGGAACTCTGGGGGCGCCCTCGTGGCCGCCGTTGGACGCTGCCCGAGACCAGGGCTTGACGGACCTCAGAAAACAGGGTCTGGGGAACAAATTCTGACGCGGATATGGGCCAGAGCGTGGGACAAGGAGGGCGGTGACGGCTGGGTGTGAACTTGAAGGGGTCGGATCGGGGTGGGCGAGAGGTGGGAAAACGGCGGGAACTCGAAACCTGCTGCATGGAGCCTTTTTTGTTATTGTATATATAAAAAATATAAAGCAAGAAAAATGCTGTTAGTGTTGTAGTGGCTGCTGTTGCTGTTGCTGTTGCTGTTGCTGTTGCTGTTGATGCTGTTGCTGTTGATGTTGCTGTTGCTGTTGTTGTTGCTGTTGTTATTGTTGCTGTTGCTGCTGTTGTTGCTGTTGCTGTTGCTGTTGCTGTTGCTGTTGCTGTTGCTGTTGCTGTTGCTGCTTCTGCTGCTGTTGTTGTTGTTGTTGTTGCTGCTGTTTCTGTTGTTGTTGTTGTTGGTGTTGTTGTTGTTGTTGTTGTTGTTGTTGTTGTTGTTGCTCTTGTTGATGTTGTTGGTGTTGTTTTTGTTGTTGTTGTTGTTGTTGTTGTTGTTGTTGTTGTTGTTGTTGTTGTTGTTGTTGTTGTTGTTGTTGTTGTGGTTGTTATTGTTGTTGTTGTTGTTGTTGTTGTTGTTGCTGTTGCTGTTGCTGTTGCTGTTGCTGTTGCTGTTGCTGTTGTTGTGTATGGATGATTATATGTACTTTTGGAAACGTGGTCGCATCTGGCGCGGGGAAAATGGGGCGCATGCAGCTGATTCTGCCCCATCCTCCTGTTACCTATCCGCCCCCCGTCGTCGGCCCCGAGGTGGGGGGGGCCTTCTAACACGGCAGGGTGCTCGTAAGAATCGGCGGCGCGTCCAGACTTTTCGCTTTTTTTTGCAGGCCCAGAAGGCCTCCGGCTTTCTCAGAAGCTTCCTGGGGCAAGCTTCCCGAGTCCTCTCCGAAGCCCCGCCGCCCGCCGCTTTCTCAGAAAACCTGCCCCCTCCCACGTCCCCCCTCGGCGCACGGCCGAAAGAGGGGATCACTTCGCTTGGGAGCTCCCGAACGAAGTGAACCCCACCCTTTCCCTCAGAAATCGTGGGGGGCAGGGGTAAGGTTCGCATGTGGCCCCATTTCCGAGGAAGCTTTCGAAAGAGCGCGTTCAGTGGTCGCTTGGAGGGTGTGTGTGTTTGGACCCAGACCCCCCTCCCTCCCCTGGATGGAGGGGGGGGGTTCGAACCCCCCCCCATTGTGACGGAGGAGGGGGGCTTCGAACTCCCCTCCCACCCCCCCCTCCTCCCTCCCCTGCTTCCCCTCTCCTCGCGCCGGCGCTTGTGTCGGCGGCGGCTGGCGGCGGCGGCGGCGGAGGACGATTTCTTTTTCTGGGCCGGCGACGGCGCCTGCGGCAGCGGGCGGCGGCGGCGGGGAGCGCCGACGAGGACGACATTGGTGGTTGTGGTGGTGGTGGTGGGTTGTGGTGGTGGTGGTGGCGATGGTGGTGGTTGTGGTGGTGGTGGTGTGGTGGTTTGTTGGTGTGTTGGTGGTGGTGGTGGTGGTTGTGATGGCGGGTGCTGGTGGTGGTGGTGGTGGTTTGGTGGTGGTGGTGTGGTGGTGGTTTGTGGTGGTGGTGGTGGTGGTTGTTGTGGTGGTGGTGGTGGTTTGGTGGTGGTGTGGTGGTGGTTTGTGGTGGTGGTGGTGGTGGTAGTGGGTTCTGGTGGTAGCGGTGGTTTGTGGAGGTGGTGCTGGTGGTGGTGGTGGCGAAGGTGGTGATGGTGGTAGTGGTGTGGTGTTTGTGGTGGTGTGGGTTGTGCTGCTGGTAGTGGTGGTGGTTGTGGCGGTGGTGGTGGTTGTGGTGGTGTGGTAGATTGTGGTGGCTGTGGTGGTGGTGGTGGCTGTGGTGGCGGTGGTGGTGATGGTGAATTGTTGTGGTGGTGGTGGTGGTTGTGGTGGTGGTGTGGTGGTGGTGTTGTGGTGGTGTGTGGTGGTGGTGTGGTGGTGGTTGGTGGTTTGTTGTGGTGGTGGTGTTTTGTGGTGGTGGCGGTGGGTTGCTGCTGGTAGTGGTGGTGGTTGTGGCGGTGGTGGTGGTGGTGTGGTAGATTGTGGTGGTGGTGGTGGTGGTAGTGGTGATGGGTTTTTGTGGTGGTGGTGGTGGTGATGGTGAGTTGTGGTGGTGGTGGTGGTGGTTGTGGTGGTGGCTGTGGTGGTGGTGGTGGTGGTGGTGGTGGTTGTGTGGTGGGTTGGTGGTGTGGTTGTGGTGGTGGTGGTGGTGGGTTGAGGCGGTGGTGGTGGTGGTGGTGGTGGTGGTGGTGGTAGTGGTGGTAATCGTCGCTGCGTCCCCGCCGTCGCCGGCGCCAGCGCTGGCGCTGCTGGCCGCCGCCAGCGCCTGCGCCTGCACCAAGGGGGTGGGAGGGTTTGATACACCCCCCCCAGGGCTAGGGGGAGGGGGAACCCCCACCGCCCCTCCGTTGGGCTGCCTCTGGTCATCGTCGCTACGTCCCCGCCGTCGGCGCTGCTGGCGGCCGCCAGCTCTGGCGCCGGCGCCGAGGGGGGGGGGTTGAACTCCTGCTTGCGCTGGGGGCAGCAGAGGCAGAAACGAGGCCGACCCCGCCACCTCCGGGCCCACCCCGGGGCCCCAGAGCTCCTGGTGCCCTCCGCGGGTGTGGTGAGCCAGTGGGGGCTCGAGGCGCTGGCTCGGTCTTGGGACCCGGGTCGTGCTCCGATGTCGTTTTGGATGGCTGGGGCCTCCAGGCTCCCAGCGCCGTGCTGCGACGGACCGTGCGGGGAGGCCTTCTCGGGGGATTCCGGGGGTCACCGCATGGGGCTTCCAGGGTCACCCCATGGCCTGTCACCGCACCGCGTTGCGGGACCCGCACCCAGGCATCCGCCGGTTTGATTTTTTCAAGCAGCGACCCCCGAGGAGGTCCCGACCGCTTACCCAGGGGGAGCCCCTCTCCCCCGGATGCGCTCCTGATGGTCCCGCGGGGCCGACGGACCCCAGAGAGGCCAGCATCGAGGAGCCACGCCTGGATTGAGCCACGTCATGTCGTCGGAGAGTTGGGCAGTGCACGGGCCCCAGGGCCCCACGGCCCCGGGGCCCATGTCAAGCGATCGCAAACATGGACCAAGGAGGCGAGGACTAGCGACGGGCCCCGCTTCCATGGGAAATCGCGGCTTTCCGCCGCCGAGCGAGGCGGCACCGGCCGCATTTTGGGGACGGCACCTACCCCGATCCATGGATTTGGCGACCGCGCGCCAAATCCATGGATCACTAATCCACGTTTGCGCGCCCCCGAGCGTGGGACGCCCACCTCCTCCTCCTCCTCCTCCTCCTCCTCCTCTCCTCCTCCTCCTCCTCCTCCTCCTCCTCCCCCCTCCTCCTCCCCCCTTCTCCTCCTCCTCCTCCTCCTCCTTCTCCTCCTCCTCCTCCTCCTTCCTCCTCCTCCTCCTCCTCCACCTCTTATCCTCCTCCCTCCTCCTCCTCCTCCTTCTCCTCCTCCTCCTCCTCCTCCTCTTCCTTCTCCTCCTCCTCCTCTTCCCCTCCGCCCCCGCCGCAGGACGCGCGCGGGGCCGCGGAGTGCTTCGGCGAATTCCAGAGGTCGCCCGCGCTCCCGCGGCCGCTCTCTCTCTCGCTCTCTCTCTCTCTCTCTCGGAGGGCTCTCCCCGGGAGGGCCCCTCGTCGAGGAGCGCGCAGAGCGCCTGAGCACCAGCCTTCGCAGCCTGACTCCTCGCGCCGTGCATGAGTGCGGTCGGTTCTCGTCGTCTCGACCAGTGGCGACCCCGCCGCCGGACAAAACGTTGAACGCCGCCAGCGTTGAACGTTGAGCAGCCGATCGTTCAAATTTGAACGATCCCCGCGGTGTCAGGAACCAACGCTGGGGTCGGAACGACGCGATTTTGCTGTCTTTCGTACGTTATGTTATGATGTCTTATTGGTGTTGTGGTTTAATGCTTTAACTTGGATTCGCAGCGCTTGTGCTTGGCAGTTTGTGATTCTTAGTATTGGCCAACGTCCCTAGGTTGTCAGCATGTTGCTTTTTGAGCACCTTTGCTCTGCTGTTGCTGCAGTCTTCGGCGATCTGGGGCCCTCACATGGGCCCTCGGGACCGTCAACAAGACGACTCGGGGTGAGAAGCGGGTCCGTTGGGCTGGGGTTCGGACCTTTGGCCGGCCCACGCGCAGAGGGGGGTAGGTCAGGGCTCAAGAGACGGGGGTCAATGCCGACGGGGGTCAGCTAGGGCGCCGGACCTTGCAGGATCCTGCAGTGCCAGGGGCGCATTGACCCGGGGTTGGGCGCAGGATCCCGCAGGGTTTTGCAGGATCCTGCAGGGCCTGGCTGACCCGGGTTTGCGCTGGCCCGGGTCAGTGCGTCCCCGAGTGGGTGGAGGGGGGCAGGCTTCTAAGAAGCTCCCCTGTTTCTTGGAAGGCGCGGGCCTGATCTGTAGGTGTGGGGCCTCCTGTGGGGCCGGCTTAGAGGGCCTCCTCCGCAGAACCGCTCCCCCTTCCCCCATACTTGCCCCCCTTGGCGCGCCGCCGATGAGAGGCCGGCCCCTGGGCAGTACAGACCTCTTGCGAGCCACGCCGCGAAACCGTCACGCAGGTGCGGAGGTCTTGTTGGGGGGGGGCCCGCGCGGTGGGCCGCAGGGTCGGGCGCCAGAGGGGCCCGGGATGGGGCGCAGCATCGGCGCTCTCCCGGAGTCGCGGGCACCTGCTTCTGGGGCCCCCCCGATGGGGTCCTCCCAGATGGGGTCAAGTCGGGCCCGCCCCTCTGCAGGAGAACTGTTCGGGAATGGTAAACAAATAGTCCGGGGAGGATTTTTCGACTATGTTTGATCATCCTGGGGAATTGTTCGGCTCTTTTTCGTTTTTGTTGTCCAACGTCCGCCTGTAGGGGGACCTGCCCGCCCTAGAGATGGGGTCGGAGAGTCGCGCCACGCCGCCGATGCATTGCCAGTGCGGCTCCAAGAGGAGCCCGATTTGCTTCAAGTCGGCGTCGCCGATGTATCGCCCGACGATGCATCGCCAGTGCATCGCCGATGTATCGGCGATGTGGCGCGACCCTCCGACCCCATCTACTCCGACCCGATCTAGGAGGCCTCGATTGCCCCGAAGGGCCAAATCAGACTGCATATGCAGGAGTCACTACCCACCAAGCCACCCCAACCCAACCCGAAGGCCCCAAGTTGCCCTCCTTTCCCAGTGGGGGGGCGTCCTGGAACATTGAAGAACCGCAGATGGAACCCGTACGCCCCCCAGCCCGAAACTTGAGATTTCGGGTTGGGTTGTTATGAGTTGGTAGGTCGTCGATGGCGTGTCGAAGGTCCGCGGGGTTGTCTGGGGTCGGCGCTAGACCCCCTTTGGCGGCACGTCTGGCGCCACCCATGCCGCGCTGTCGCGCGCCACGGGAGGAGGGTCCAGTTCCGACCTGAGAAATCCCTGCCGGCCTCCAGAAGTTTATGCGTGTGTGTGTGTGTGTGTGCCGTTACTAGTTATTGTGCTCTTTTTGTATTTTGAGGTCTCGTCGTCGATGCCAATTTTCGGCAGGTCTTTGGATGGTTCTCGGAGGTCTTCACGATATTCAGCGGTCTTGGAAGATCCTGGAATGTTTCTTGGATGTTTGCAGAGGTTCCGGGAGGTTCGCGTCTCTTCCTGGCAGGGTTTCGCAGGGCGTTCGATATTCTCGTCGTCGCGGTTGGGCGCGGCTCAGAAGATGGGCCAGAGTGGTGATCGGGAGGGGGCGGGGGGGAGGATTTTGAGCTGATTTTCAAGTCGACGTGCCCTGGCATCCAGCGCTATCAGTGGCAACACACGACGGACAGTTTTACCGCAACATCAGGCGCCAGGAGCCTTTCGACTCAACAGCTCGAGGCATCCCATTCGAGGTGAGATCGGGAGTTCATGCTGGGATTGGTCACGGGGCCCCTCTTCTAGGTGGCCGAGTATGGGAGCTTCTGGTCGACCCAGGGAGTTTTTCAAATCATGGTTTAGTTTGGTTCAGTGGGATCTAGCAGGCGTTCAAGTGGTACTCGGTGGGATTGAAGTGATGGGAGGTTCGTGGGATTTAGTGGTTTCGCAAGTGAGGTTTAGTTGGATTCAGTGGCTGGTAGTGAGATTCAGTGTTCGCAGCGTCGTCGGGGCAATCTTTACCGCAGGGCTATGACTTCGACAGCGGCTGGGACGCCCGCTCCCCCCACCCCCCACCTTTGTGCGCAGGCAATCGCGGCGCCCGCCCAGAGAGTATCGCACACGCCGCGGGCCTGCACTGCTCGCCAGTAGACCTCACTGAATCTCGTGAGCTGGGCGCCCGTGCGACTGCGTGCAGCTCCCATGCCCGGCCGCCGAACCTCTTGCTGGAGTCCTCCGCGGCGTCGCCAGCACCGTCCTCGTCCTCGGCCCCCCCCCCCCCGCGCCCTTCCCCTCCTCGAGGGCCCCCCTCCTCTTCGCGCCCAGGCCGCTGCTCGTCCTCGGCTTCCTCGGCGCCCCCGTCGTCGCTCTCTCTCGTCCTCGCCCCCCCGGCTCGGCCGCGGGAGGGAGGCGGCACACTTCGCGCCGCCCCGGCGGGGCGGGCGTGCCCTGCTCTGGCGGGTGCCCCACGGCGCGCCCTCGGGGAACGCTCGCTGGGCGGCCCTCGAGTCTGTCCCGAGGGCGCCGGCCAGAGCGAGGCAGGGGACAATCTGGACGCCCGAAATGGGTACGGAAAGAATGGGTACAATGCCCAACAGCAGTTCTTGTCCATTTTGAACAGGACTCGCTGTCCACGCCGTCGCGGCCTGTGTCCATTCGAGAGAGAAGGCCGCCTGTCCAACAGCAGCCGCTGTTGGTTTGGGACAACATTTGTTGCTGGGCATTGTACTCATTCTTTCCGTACCCATTTCGGGCGTCCAAAGACAAGGCGCATCGAACGAGGTATCGAGATCCTGGCGCCTGGCGTAGGGCTGGCGAGGCGACGGAGAGGAGGCCCTCCAGCGCATGCTCTCCTCTTGCTCCTGCTGCTGCGCCTCCTTTCTCCCCCTTGTCTCTTAAGTCGGGCGTGTCCCTCTACGGGGGGAATATTCAAAAATAGTCAAAAAATGGTCAGGGGACAATTTTTATACTATTTTTGATTATTGTTTTTTTTATATTTTCTAGTTTTCGCTCAAAATCCCCCTGTATGGGGACACGCCCGACTTAATCCTTGTTCTCAGCCTCCTCGTATGTCCTCCTGGTCCTCGTGTCTCTCTTCAGTCTCCTCGTCATCGTCTTCCGCTGCGTTTCCTCTCCCTCCTCGTCCTCGCGTTCCCATCCTCGTCCTCCCTATTTCCATCCTCGCCCCGCCTTGCCCCCCTCGGCTTTTAAACCAGATCCTGTCCAAATGGTGTACCCTGCAGTGTCGGCGGTCTCAGCAAGGAGGAGTGGCTGATCAATGTCCGACATGGCGCGCTATAGAACGGGCCTAGCCTTCGGCGCATCTCGTCTTCGGCGGAATCTGGAGGAAGGCCGGTGGAAGCCCGCGGAAGTAAAACCGCGGCGGGTATGGTGGTGGAAGCCAGCAGAAGTATAGCACTGTCCTCATATATATATATATATATACATACCTGTTGGGGGATTTGGGGTGCCCATCAGGGCGGCGCCAAATCCTTATACCTCTAGCGCCCCACGACATACATAATCGTTCACGACGATGGTCAATGATAGAGGAAACGACAGACAGCGACAGTGATTTTGTAAAACAGGTGTAGCTTGATGTAGTCGACCTTTCACCTTTCGACACCCGCTCGTACACGGGGACTCTGCCCACCACCCATTCTGCCCGCCCATCCATCCTGGTCAGATCAGGTCAATTGCTCCGACACTTGCGCGTAAGCTGCCCGCGTAAGGTCGTGGGTAAGCATGGGCCGCGGCGTACTGTCGCTGTTCCATCTCGCGTGAGACCCGTTTCGTTTCGCCGCTCGGGTGCTCCAATGTCGAGAGCGCGAGGAGGCACTTCTGGAGGAGAAGGATCAGGCGGGTGGGCAGACGAGGGAGACATGCCGCCCCCGTTCGGCGGCCGTCCCCCGCGAGCGGGCGCCGCAGCGGGAGGCTGCTCCTCATGCATTCCATCGACGACCCGCCCGGGCGCCTTGCGGTTTTCCAGGCGAACGAGGCGAGCTGCTGGCCGCGCCCTGCTGTCTGAGACGTCGTGCGCATGACGCGTCTCCCCGGCCTGAGGACGGAGGGCGAGGCAGGAGGAGGAACGCAGGAGGCAGAGGGAGGAGAGGAGAAGAGACGGAGGAGGAGGAGGAGGAGGAGGAGGAGGAGGAGGAGGAGGAGGAGGAGGAGGAGGAGGAGGAGGAGGAGGAGGAGGAGGAGGGGGAGGAGGAGGGGAGGTAGGAGGAGGAGGGAGGGAGGAGAGGAGGAGGAGGAGGAGGAGGAGGAGGAGGAGGAGGAGGAGGAGGAGGGAGGAGGAGGAGGAGGGGGAGGGGGAGGAGGAGGAGGAGGAGGAGGAGGAGGAGGAGGAGGAGGAGGAGGAGGAGGAGGAGGAGGAGGAGGAGGAGGACGAGAGGGAGGGAGAGATGGGGGCGGAGGAGGAGGAGGAGGAGAAGGAGACGATGAAGGGCAAAGAGGGCGGGGTGGGGGAGCCTCGGGAGAGCCATGCCCCTCGCTGGATCGCCAGCTGGGCCGACGCTCTCTGCCTTTGCGCGCCCGGAGCTGACTCGCAGGGCTATTGTCGCTGCTCCCTGCTTCGGGCGCCGCCGCTGAACGAAGAAGCTCTGGAGCGCTTTCGGATTCGGCTGATCTCAGAGGACGCCAGAACGAGATATCGATGAGCATACACTATCGGAGGTACGCGCAGATTTCTGGTATCGGCGCTGGACCCCCTCCCATGTCGCGTGAAGCGCGCCAGGGGCGGCGCCAGAGGCACCGCGGGGGGAGTCAGCGCGGACTCAAGAAATCTGCGCGCACCTCCGAAAGATTATGTTTGTGACGTGCTGTTTTCTTCGATTGCGCCCACGACGGGCGCAGGGTTGTCGCTTCGGGTTCACCAGGTCCGCATCTCGGACATGTGGAACAACCATTTTCTCGGCTCATGCGTGTGGGGGGGGGGATGCGTGTGTGTATGTGTGTGTGTGTGTGTGTGCGCGTGCGTGTGTGTGTGTGTGTGTGTGTGTGTGTGTGTGTGTGTGTGTATGGGGGTCCTGCACCGACGCCAGAGATCTGGGCGGCTCTCCGCATGGTAATGCTTGTGCAGCCTTGCTGGCCTGCCATCGTCCCTTTTGTCGGGGTCGTTGGTCGTCGGCGTGGCTGCCTAGGATGCCGCAAGGCCTGACGTTCAGCCAGCCGTCGAGTGTGGCGCTTCCAACGTCTCCTCCTCCTCGTCCTCCTCCTCCTCCTCCTCCTCATTGCCATTCTTATTATCATTATCATTATCATCATTACCATCACCATTAGCATCATTATCATCATCATCATTATCATCATCATCAGCATCATCATCATCATTATCATCATCATCATTATCATCATCATCAGCATCATCATGATCAGCATCATCATCACCACCACCACTATCATCATCACCAGCAGCATCATCACCATCATCAGCATCATCATCATCACAAGCATCATTCTCATCATCGTCGTCGTCATCCTCGTAATCATCGTCATCACTATTATTCTCACTATCTGTAGCATCGTCAACATCACCATTAGCATCATTATCATCATCATCATCGCCATCAGAAGCACCATCAGCATCATCATCACAAACAACATCGTCACCACCATCACCAACAACAGCATCAACATCAAGATCAGCATCATCATCATCGCCACACTCATCATCATCATCATCATCATCATCATCATCAGCATCACCATCGTCATCATGCTTATCATCATCATTCTCCTTATCGTCATCACCATCGTCATCACCACCATCATCATCATGCTCATCATCATCATCACCATCATCATCATCATGATCATCATCATCATCATCATCATCATCATCATCATCATCATCATCATCATCATCATCATCATCATCATCTTCGTGATCACCATCATCATCATCCTCCTCATTATCATCATCATCATCACCATCGGGCTCGTCATCACCACTATCATCATCATCCCCATCATCATACTCACCATCATCATCATCACCACCACCATCATCATCACCATCCTCATCATGAGCATCATCATCATCATCAACATCATCATCATCATCATCATCTTTATCATCATGGCCACCATCATCACCAGCATCACTCTCACAGCACCCGGAGTGTGACTTGAGCCACGGGCAGTGAGAGTGCCACGGCCCAGGCTCGCTTTGATGCACATCGATGCCCACGTCCTCGCGGTCTGGACTCCTCGGCCATGGCCCCATGGGTACCGAGCGCACGCTGAAAAGATATACTTTGGAGTTCCCAGATCCCCATTCAAAGCATGATACTCGCGCAGTACTTTGGCGCCTTCCTGTTTCAAGGGTCGATGGGTCTCCCGCTTCCCTGCCTCTGCAGGAGGTGGGCGGAAGCCCAGCCTCCACCGGCAGGGTTCTTTTGAGGCGAGTTCGTGGGCTGTTCTCTCGCCTTTGGACTTCGCTTTGCAGCGGAGGCGGCATGAAGACGGGGGGGGGGGCGACGGGGAACGGGGAGGCGGGAGGGGCCTGGTCACTATGCAGCTCAGCATGCGACGCAAACCGCGCTCGCGAAGAATCACTCGCGAGCTGGCGCTAGCCACCCAGTCCATCAGCCCGAGGGAGCACGAGACCAAAGCGGAAACGAGAGGCATTGTTTGCGTCGATCCCTGCGCCTCCCCCCGCCGCAGTCGGGTCGGACGAAAGCGGGGCACGCACTGGGGAGTTGGTGTGTGTGTGTGTGTGTGTGTGTGTGCGGCATCTGCTGCGTGCCTCCCGTTTCGGCTCCGCCGCCCCGCACACTCCTCGGTGCGCGGCCGCCTCTGTCGCGGGGAGGCGTTGGGGAGTGATGGCCTTCCCGCCCCGCCGCCGCCTCCTCCTCCTCCTCCTCCTCCTCCTGCTCCGCTCCTCCTCCTCCTCCTCCTCCTCCTCCTCCTCCTCCTCCCTTCTCTCCCTCCTCCCACTCCTCTCCCTCCTCCTCCTGCCATGCTCCTCCTCGTCGTCTTCCTCCTCCTCCTACTCCGCCTCCTCCTCCTCCTGCCATTCTTGGTATACGCGTTGCTCACCAGCACTAGACCACTGGGTGCCTGTGCTGGTGCACCCCTGAACACATTTACGCTGGGACTCACTGCGGCAAGTCCGGTGTCTGGGTATCCCCCCTTTCGCCCGCCACAGCTCAGGTAGTCCCTTTCTCCCCCCCCTGCTGGAGTCTTGGCCGTCCGCTCGCGCCTGCGGGCCGCCTCGTCGTCGTGGTCTTCGTCATCCTCTTCTTTTTCCTCCACCTCCACCTCTACCTCCTCCTCTGCCTCCTCCTCCTCTTCCCCCTCCTCCTTCCCCCTTCTCCCCTCTCCTCTCCCTCCGCCTCCTCCTCTTTCCCCTCCTTCTTCTTCCCCCTTCTCCCCTGTCCTCTCTCGGAATGAAGCGGCACCACCACCACCACCACCAGGGGTACCACACCACCGAGAAGGTCCGCGATGCCTCCCCGAGCTCGGGATCGGGGATACCCCACTGAGGATGTTCATGATGCCTCCCCGAGCTGTGGATAGCGGATGTCTCGGGCGGGGAGGGGGGACCACACTACTTGGAGAACCATTACGTTGGCTCCTCGCGCCCGCTTTCATACTCTCTGGCTCGGGCGTGTTTCGACCCCTGGCCTCCTTGTTTAGGGCATCTGCCACAGAGCCGCAGCCGCCGCCATCAGCTTCCCGATCCGTCGATCAGTCGCTGCCCTTTCTGGGACCCGGTACCGCCAGCAGCAGCGAGCTCTGACGAGGCGCTGGTTCGGGGGACCCCCCAGGGCTCAGGACCCGTTTGCCCTCGGGGCCCGACCTGCCCGGTCCTGGCCTCTGGCGGCCCTGGCCGGCGGCGGCGGGTGCCCTGTCGGAGAGGGGGCCCCGTGCCCAACCACGGAAATCCGTCAACCGCCCCTCCTTCCTGTAGCCGCCTCCTCCCCCTCCTCCCTCCCTCCTCCCGGCTTATGATGTTCCAACCT